TTTTAATATGAAGATTCTTTTACTTGGAAGTGGGTAACTATATGTAGGCGTCTGCTATAGATGTATATTTTGCTCTCAAAATATTTGTATCTTACAGCCTGATTGTATGACCTGCCATGGTACAGCAAATGCATGGAATTCAATGAAGAAAAACAATGACCACTAAGTTTCTGCACTATAGGATTACCAGCAGCCCCCAAAGTATCTAGAACTGATTAGTGTATAAATTACTCATTTGTGTTAACTAAGAAATTCTTGGGTAGTGCGAAACACTGAACTTAGCTACAATGGTACATCTCTCCCTGTTTTTGTTATGCATCCAAGTTGTGCCATATTTCACTCTCAAGTTGTTAGACCCTGGTCATCTGTAAAGGTACAGGAAGAACTTGTAAACTAAGTTATGTTATTTTTCAGAAGTTTCATGGACAACCCTCATTTAAAAGATGACTTTAATAGCAGTGTAATAATTATTAGCTTAACAGCAGGTATCAGTAAGCATTGGAAAGAATACTTTTGAAGTCCATTTTTATAAGAAAATACTTTTAGACTCTCACAGGGAAATCTTTAAAAGAAAAATTTAAATGTGAGCTGTCACTCAGGTAGAAGTTTTATACAGAGACAAATATATTATGATAAGGATCTCTGTTATAAACTTCTCCCATCAGATAATGGTTTTAGCTAAACAAAATAGTTATTTTACTATAGCTTATGTTGAATGTGTAACAATAATTTCATACCAGGCATTTAAAATGTTTAAGAATTTAAATTAACTGTTTGTTGTTGTAACAGTTCATTAAAATGTTTTTTTTAATTTAATGTTCATTTCATGTGTTTATTTTATCCATTTGGTAGCTATAGATCAGAGCAACTGTTTCTTGCTAGATTAAGTGAGCACATCCATTGTGAATTTATATTATGTATGTTTTATAATAAATATTTCATTTGAACAACATACATGCATCCACTGTTGCCTTAGAGTACCTTTGTACTTTGTTCCTGGGTTTAATTTCCCAATGCAAAATCAAACTTTAGTTAGTATTTCACTGTTTCCCCAAACTATTGAAAACTCTTTTCCAGTCACAGAATTCTCAGTTAAACAATTTGGTCTAATGATGTCACAAACACGACACATGTCACTGTCCTTTGATACAGGTCTCTGTGATGCAGCTTGAATAACAGCAAGCAAAATTGCAGGTTCTGCTCCTTTCCATGATTGTTGTCACAGGAACGACTTGTAGGTACTGACCAATGAATGATAATGTTAACACTGACACCAGTGTCAGTGAATTCTTAAAACTGCTGGAAATTAAGCTAAATGATCAAAATGGTCAAGAAGTTACAACAGCAAAGCACAAACTCCTGTGACATGTATGTGTGAAAAGAACATCTAGGTCCTCCTGATTTTGCCCAGTTGGCAAGAAAATATTGATTCAGTATGAAGATGTATTTTAAACTTTCATCAGGGTCACCTGAAATGTGTTAATCCTTCATAGCAGCTTAATAGTATATTACTCAAAGGCAGGCATATGAGACTAGTACTGCACAGTGCAAGAGCTTACATTACCACACAGGAAGTGGTGGTGGCTACAAGCATGGACGGCTTCAAAAGGGAATTAGATAAGCACATGGAGCAGAGGTCCATCAGTGGCTATTAGCCACAAGGTATAGATAGGGACTCTGGGGCAAGTGATGCTCTGTCTTCTTGGTGCTTCGAGGGGGGGTCAACAGTGGGAGGGCTTCTAATGTCCTTGCCCTACTGGTGGACCTCCTGATGGCACCTGGTATCTTTGGCCACTGTGTGACAGAGTGTTGGACTGGATGGGCCTTTGGCCTGATCGAACATTGGCGTCTCCTATGTTCTTATGTGTGTGACAAAAAGATATATTTGACACCCCCATACCATTCCCTCTAAGCTGAGTTAATGTGAGCTAGCTCACAGTTTTTTAGCCTCCAGCTCAGGAAGGATGGCTACAGAGCAAACCAATTTATGCAGTAGCCAAATCGCTCACTCACAACTTTAATGCCAGTAGCTCACAAAGTAGAATTTTTGCTCACAAGACTCCAGAGCTTAGAGGGAGCACTGAACAGGGTACTGACTTTTTAAATGATACATTCTTAGTAGATGGTGTTATGGGAGGAAAGGCATCTTGTTCCAGTGCCTGTTGGCTTCCAAGATAGCTCCATGTGTGCACATTAGTATAATTGTTATGACCTTTTTATTTATTGTTCATGTATCTTATGTACCTAACCACTTATTGAGATTGGCAACCAAACCTGATTGGAAATACCAACTAGGCTTTTTACCTGATGTTTTCCCCATGTCATTCAGAATTTAAGACTTTTACCCTAGATCAGGAATCCTTAAAGAAACCAAGGGCCCTCTTAGCTAATGATACTTGAGTCCCAGTTAAGTCCCTTTTCCTGAGAAAAGACCGGGATCAGCGCCATATGGTGGAAGAGCTGCTGGATTTTTCCTCCCCAGCCTAAAAGTCTATTTAGCGCTATGCTTGAACTTCAGTTTTTGTTTTTTCAAACATAATGTGGTTTATGTGAGCAGGAAAGAGAAAGCGGTTGGAAAGCCATGTTACTTTCCATGATACACAAATATACACACAACCTTCTACCCCATATTTGCTTCTGACCCAAACAGATTCTGTAAAGTTTTTCAAACAATAAAAACCTATTTTCCAGGGGATGCTTGCAATGCACCCAACAGGTTTAACTGAGAAAGCCTTGAAAATAAGCAACATTCAAACAGGAAGTAATTGCAGAAGTTTGGACATGAGAAAGCAAAAAACTCCAACCCAGTTTAAAAGTCTGCAAAACTTGTTTCATGCTATTCGTTTTGTATTATTTTCTTTGACTAGGAATAAGGCCTGCTGGGAAAATAAATATAATGAGCTCTAGAAAGAAGCTCTGGGCAGGTGCCCTGGCCTTGGGCACTCAGTGTCAATTTGCTGTGGCAACCTCAACAGGGAATAATGACACAGAATCCACTGTTTTCTCTAGGGAACTCATCTTTGCCATCTGAAGTTGTATTTTTCAGTGATCTCCAGCCCTCACCTGGAGATTGGCAACAATGGTTCCCCAGGAGATGGCTGTTTTGGAGGGTGGAGCCTATGGCATTGTACCTGTCTGAGGTACCACCCCTCCTCAAACCCCACCCTTTCCAGGCTCCACCCCTCAAATCTCCAGGAATTTCCCAACCTGGAGGTGGCAACCCTATCTCCTTCCCCCCAACCATCAGCGTACTGTTATGTGCCCCTCTGACTTAAACATACAGTTATTTGCCCCTCTCCTTGCAGCCTTTACCTTGGAAAAGTACAGTCTTTCTCCACACTGGGGACCGAAGCAGCTCACGTTATTCTCCTCTCCCTCTTTTGATCTGCACAACAACCATGTGAGGTAGGTTAGGATGAAAGTCTGTGACTGGTCCAAAATCACCCACTCAGCTTCCACAGCAAGAACCTGGGTCTGGCAGACCCTGCTCTGAAGCACTAACTGCTACGCCATACTGACTGTCCTAGCTGAGAGCCAGTTTGGTGTAGTGGCTAAGAGCGCGGATTCTAATCTGGGAGAACCAGGTTTGATTCCCCATTTCTCCACATGCAGCTGCTGGTGTGACCTTGGGTCAGTTGTAAGTTATTTCAGAGCTGTTCTCTCAAGGGCAGTTCTCGAGAGAGCTCTCTCACCCCACCTACCTCACAAGGTTCTGATGTGGGAAGGGAAAGGGATTGTAAGCCACTCTGAGACTAGTGAAGAGTGGGGTATAAATCCATTACCATCTTCTAGGGGTGCTGCTGCTGGTGAACAGGAGCAAGCAGCCAGGCCTAGGGTAGCCAGCCTCCAAGTGGAACCTGAAGATCAGCTGGTATCACAACTGAACTCCAGACAACAGATCTCTGTCACCCTGGAGAAAATAACTGCTTTGAAGGGTGGACTCTATGGCATTCTATTCAGCTGCGTTCTCCCCTCCCCAAACTCTGGCTTCCATAGAATCCACCACAAAATCTCCAGGAATTTCCCAACTTGGAGCTGGCAACCCTAATCAGGACTGGCCCCAATGAGTTTCCCACAAAGGCCAAAGTAGGCCTGGAAAGGGCCTCCTGCCCCTACCTTTTTACTGGCAGAACCAACCTTGGTTGCCTAGGAACAGCCACTGAGGGGAAAGTGAGCCCCACAGCAATTTTGGAATTTTATTTAGACAGGGAATGGCCAAGCCAGCAGTTGGTGGGGGAGGAAGTGTAGATCCAGCCCCCAGCCAATGGCATGCAACTACTCTTCAGTGGTGGTTGACGGGCCAATGGCTGATGGAGCGCACAGCACAGCCAATGGGAGAGCCAGAAAGTGCCAATAGGCTAGGGCTTATATATATATGTAGAGGATACCAAACACTTAAATTCTTCGTGCCGGTTAATGAAAAGTTGAATGGTAGGCAATGAAGAAAGAAACATAAAGGAAATGATACGCAGATTAAAAGAAACAATATCCTATGTTTCTTCCAAGATGTGAAATAACTACACTTTTCACTTCTGCCAGTAATAAGATTCACATTTTTAGAAATGTGACCCAGTACTAAAGGATATAAAATTTGTAAGCAATGAATCAGTCAGTCATCTCCCATGATGCATAGATACCACCTCAGATTGTGGGGGGATGTATAGAAGGGAGAAATCAAGGGTTTCTTTTTATGCAGAGAAAGAAAACTTGGCCGGCTAGCTTTATTTGTGCACAGAAGTTTTGAAAAAATCTGAAGTGTTCAGTCCTCACACTTTGTCTGAAGTCATGTAGCCCAGCAACATATGGATGAGGCTGCAGGCCAGAATACTGGGAAAGCTCTTTCGTAGCTGTTCAGCTCATGGGATAGCTTTATGCCATTTCCGGTCTCATTCCCATAATTGCTTTTGAGGGAAGGAAGCCGGTTATTTCAAGAAGTAATTATTAAAACACAAAACCTTTATTGGCATGAAACCACAAAACATCATGGAAATACAGGAAAATACTAAGATGCATCAGTCACTTACACTTGGCTATTCAAGCCTCGTCTTTTGATTGCAAAGAAGTAATGAAAACCAAGACCATTCATGTTACGCATTTATTTCTAAGCTTTCACCAGACCGGCACAACCCAAAAGGTAGCATGGATCCGATGCCTGCTCAGCAGGCTCATTTAGTGATGACTTCACTGGGAGCAGGAGTGATGCATACCAGCTATATAGGGAGCACTACAGTGATGAGGCACTACCCAATGGCTTCACAGGCAAGCCTGCCAAACATCTCCCAGCCCTTGGACTTTTTTGTCACCCGAAAGACAGGAGGCTAAAGAGCTTGCCAAAGGTGGAACATGCATAGTAATGTGTTGTGTTAGAGATGTGGTAAGATTGGTAGAGAAAAGAGGAAGCAAGGAAATGTGTCCTAGACTGGCATTAACGCCTTCTAAATGATGGGGCCAAATAAGCGAGGAGTTCTCACTCCTCTTGGGACAAAGGGATTGTCTCTAAGTAAGAATGAAGGAGACTGAGTTGCTTAAAGTCACAGAGGAAAAAGGTAATGGATGAGGGGCTGCATAGGGTAAAAGGAGTTAAAAGATATTTGGAAGTGCATTTGAGCCAGAGACCTTTGAACTGTAAAAACAATAAGAGACTAGAAGCAGGCATTTTATTACAATGGTTCACTTCTGTCACTTCCATTTTCAGAAAGAGGTGCTGAAGAATAAGTTATAGCAATATTCTTAGCAAGGCAAACAATAACTAGAACATGGAGCTCTCCACCTCTGCATTAATCCTCTGCATTAAAATCCAGTTGAAGAACGGCAGTGGATGTAGAAGAGATGACCAGTTTTGTCCTCCAAGGCTTTCAGGGCAGCAGGAGGTAGTCCCAGTCTCCAGTCATCTCTACTCTGAAAGAGAAAGAAGTCAAGTTAACATCACCAGAAGTCACACCAAAATGCAGCGGAGAAACTCCAGAGAAACCTTAGGTTTCTAGACAAACTAAGTTCACTTAATCACAAGATTGGAAATGTACACATTCTACTACTGTGGGTGGCTCCATGGGATGTTAATGGTCCTTTCAGTTTTAGTATCTTCTTCATGCCTGTATCTAAAAGTCATTCACATTCTAAGTTTTAAGACTGCCTCACATGTATCCCAGATCAGAAACTGTTTATGCCATGACAGTCCTTAATCAGATGTAAGTGTATTCCACCACTTGGGTGGAGCTCCATAGGTTAAGCTGTTTGTGTTAGCAACTATGCATATGCTGTTGATTTGTGGTGACACAAGAAAGGGGTTGTATTTGTCAGCTACTAGAACCTTCTGGGCTCCCTTACCAGCCTACCTGCCAATTAGAAGATTCATCCTAAGCCTTGTTCTGTTTTCCTTGGAAGAGTCATGGGTGGCTTACAGATACTGCTTCTTCAAGTGGCAGTGTATCTATTGTAGATTACTTTGGTTGTGTGGCACCTAACCTGACTATCTTCAGGAAGGGGGAAATGGTGTCTTTACTTGCTGGGAAATTCCCTTAGACCCACTGGTCTCCTGCCACCACCACTCAGGGCCTCCTGAGAACATCTAGACTGAGCCACTGAGAAAGTGCTCTTCCAGTGCAGTACTAGAGCAACAGCAAAGTGGCAGAGTAGAAACCCTAGGAAATACCTTATAACCTACCCAGTAGCATGCTGATGCCTGAAGGAGAGTAAGTGTGGTGTAGTGGTTAAATTGTCAGACCACGATCTGGGAAACCCGGGTTCAGCTCCCCGCTCTGCCATGGAAGTTTACTGGGTGACCTCAGGCCAGTCACACACTCTCAGCCTAACCTACCTCACAAGGCTGTTGTGAGGATAAAATGGAGGAGAGGAGAATGATGAAAACTGTTTTGGATCCCCACTGGGCAGAAAAGGAGGGATATAATTTAAATGAATAAAATAATAAGGGTAAAACTTTTATTTGTTCCTGATTTTTATTAGTGCCTTTTGAAAAATGGTGTTATATGCCTGTTTCTCCCAATAATTGCACTTAAGGCACTGTTGCTGGTCTAACTCTTTCTGGGCTGCTTTTCTCCCACTTTTATTGCTTTGTTTTGATTTTATCATCATTCTGACAAGGTTTATTATAAGGTACTTCAAGCTTAATGTTAGAGGCAACACATACTATGTCATTATAACAACATCTACATCCCACTCTTTTTACAAGTCTACCCAATTACTCACCTCGGAATCACTACAAAGCACCAATTTCCTTCAATTTTGGAATGAGTTCGCCCCTGTCATGTAGAGCTTTCAGGTTGTCATAACCACCAATACAAGTTTCTCCAATAAAGACACGAGGGACCTAGAAAAGCAGAAGTTAAAATCAAAAACAAAAGCAGCTGGAAATCCTGTCTCCTAAAGCTCAGAGGAGGGCTATTCGAACAAGGGAGCAGGGAAAGCTGACCCCAGAGAGGATAGCTATGTAACTAGGACCATAAGATGCAGCTGTTGAGACTTCCTGTTACTTTAAGACCTTTAAGCCCATGAAAATATGTATGTAGCAGTGGAATTTGACCTGCTACAGGAGAATAAACACAGTCCTGGTTTCTACAGAGGGTATAACGGAAGGGCAAACAAATGGGCTGGTGGAGCCAGAAGACATTCTAATCAGACATATTTGCTGGCCCAAGCTTGTAGTTACAGGAAGCGTCTCCAAGAGTGTGGCCCGTGACAACCCAGCATGCCACTTCTGTTTCTGGAGGACAGAAATGAGTCATATCCCTCATCACTAAAGCTGAAGTCCTACAAAGATTATATACATAAATATCAAGCACAGAGGAACACTTTTACTTGCATTTTCACATTTGATCTATTATATATACAGAGTGTAAAACCAATAGGCTCACTAGAACTAGGAAGTAAATAGCAGGATTTTATTTTCCCTAAAGCTAGTCAATCAATTACTACAAAAGTCATGGATAAGCAGACTCCCATTAAGAAGTCGTGCCACTGAGGAACAAGGAACCTTATAAAGGCACCATTAAGTCTCTTATCTAGAACCAGCCAGTGTTCTAAATGAGTTGCTCAAGTTAGTAGGCAGCAGTGAAAACAAGCTTACTTATAAGCAGCAGCACACAAAACCAGCCTAACAGAAAAAAAAGATTCTGGACCTCAGGTTTATACACATTGGGCAGGCAGTCACCTTTAGCATGCAAATAACATGCCAGGACATTTTTATTCAATGATTTCTTTTCATGCTTTACCAGGGTGGGAGTGGGATACTCACTGCTTTTTTGTACCATATTGCTATACACATGAACAGAACAAGTTCCTTATAGTGAGGCAAAGTTTAATTAGACCTAGGTCCCCAGAATGGGCAGTATTCAACATGAAGTTATCTTGGGCAAATCCCACAGAAAAGTAAGAAAGGAGATAAGCAGGACAGAGAATGCCTGGTTAACACAGCACTGGTTCGAATGGATAAAAGGAAGTACTTCTTCACCCAAAGAGTGATTAACACATGGAATTCACTGCCAGAGGAGGTGGCGGCGGCTACAAGCATGGACAGCTTCAAGAGGGAATTAGATAAACATATGGAACAGAGGTCCATCAGTGGCTATTAGCCATAGGGACTTTCAGTCTGGGGCAAGTGATGCTCTGTATTCTTGGTGCTGGGGGGGGCAACAGTGGGAGGGCTTCTACTGTCCTGGCCCCACTGCTGGACCTCCTGATGGCACTGGTATTTTTGGCCACTGTGTGACAGAGTGTTGGACTGGATGGGCCATTGGCCTGATCCAACATTGGCTCCTCTTGTGTTCTTATATTCTTATGCTCAAATTTTAACTGGCTTGGTTCCTGTGCCTTTAACAGACACACCTGAAATGAGTAGGCAAAGCTTCCTTTTTCTTTCAGAAAAGCCTTCATTCAGAACTAAACTAGACAGTTGTTTTTTTAAAAAAGAGATGGGTCTGGATTCCCTACAGCTGCCCCTCCCTTCCCAGTTTCCTGCACAAAAACAGCATGTGGGAGGGGAGGTACGTCTCCCAGTTTTTGCTGCTCCACATGCACAGAATACTCCAGCTACAGCTGTGTTCCAAGGCTGAATGGATTCTAATTTTAATAGCCATTCTCCTCATAGGCTGCGTGACTCCCAAGTTGGGTCTAGAGAATCTGGATCTTATTCTTTTAAAAAATAAGATGTCTAGTTTTGCTCTTACTACAGCTCCATAGGACTGTTAGAGGCCCAGGAACAATGTCCTGTTAAGTCTTATCATATAATTATATCATCAGGAACGATACAAATCATACAGCAAACACTGCTGTTCCACTTGCATAGTACTTTGAACTCCCCAAAGCATTTAGCTATAGATATGTGGCAGCCACACAGTGACAGAGAGCCATTGTTCAAGGTACATGCAAAAGACAGGAATACACAGCAATTGCTCAGCATTCTGTATTACAACATATAAACCCGTTGTTACACAGTAACTCTTCCCCCCTCAGACGCTACATGTTCTTAATGAGGTGCCCCTACAAAAATGTACATTGTGGCTCTAAGAAGCAGTTGCTTCCATCTTACATTAAGGCTGCATCCACACATCAGTGGATATTGTGCTATAGTGCTTCTTTGTAACTGGACTATCATCATGACCACATAGAAGAATCCAATCACAAAAATAGTTCCTACTGTGCAACACCCAGTGGTGTGTGCAAGCATTTTAAACTTGAAAGCAATCCCAAGCTAACGCAACAAATATGAAGTCAGAGTGGCAGAGCTTCCTCCTTGCTAGAGGACTCTCACTCTTGCACCCCATTAACAGGAAGTACCGGAAGCTGCTCCAGAAGGTATACATTATTAGCAAACCCATTTTATCAATGCAGTGCAACCTTTCCGCTCTTAGACATGTCCTGAAAAAAACAAAGGCACAACCTCACCAGTATCAAATCATTTTCACTTCCATCGGTATGGGGGGGTGGGGGAGTTTAATACAGGGTTATACTTGCAAGACAGCCTATTCTTAGAATACTTACGTATCAGCTTTACCCAACAAAGACATTCATCCCTGCATAAAGTTTCTGAATTATGCATGTCTTTTTATTGCAGATGGACAGCTTCCTGCCCCTTAGGCCTACAGAGTGTGCGGGACAAAGGGGAACTACCAACATTTCTGATTAAAACACTATGACGTACCTGCTTTTTCCAAGCTACCGTTTACAATTATTACACTGTGACTTGTACATAGTACCTTATTACACAGGCCTGCTTCAAAAGGGGCGTTTTAAGTTTCACACACTGGAAGACAAGGCACATACAGCAGCCGTTCAACAGCAAATAAATTAAAGAAGGATAACGGGACTCACAGATCTGGCGCCTGTAGTGCGTAGCATATAGTCCTGAATATTGGACATATCCGCTCGGGTTGTGAGGTCAACGTATTCCAAATGCTTGACACCAAGTTTCTCCAGAAGCTCCACTGCCATGTGACAATAAGGACAGGAAGGTTTCCCAAACACTGTCACTTTATCGCATCGTATTTTGCTACTCACAAACTCTTCAGCCATTCTCCAGATCTTCTCCCCCCTCACCGCACAGCAAGCCCACGTTCAAAAGCTTTCTTACAAAGACGGCTCTTGTGGGACCAGCACCGGCTTTTATGAGCTAGAAACTACACTCGTTTTAGGGCCGACACCCTGTAGGAGGAGTTTTCTCTCTTCTCGGCGTCTTGTTTTTTAAAGAGATAAGCACGCCTCTGCCTTTCCCACACGGGGTGTCAAGTAATTCATTCACCCGAGAATAGTTCGTTTCGCAGATTTTAAGTAATGCAAGAAAGCTGCAGCATTCATTAATCGCCGCGCGGTTAAAGAGTTGCTATATGGAAGGGTACTGTTGCCGTCTTAAGGCTGCTTGCTAAGAAGTCCGTGGCATAGGAAATGACTCGGACTTGCTTAGGAGTAAACGCACTTAGCTCGGTGTGCTGCAGTGGTTCAGTCCTGGAGAGAGAGGGAGAGGCTCTGTCCGTCATGCCTTGCCGCTTCTCTCGGTTTGCCCGCCTGCCAAAGTTACCCCAAGGCTAGAACGACTAACGTTTATCCGGATGGGATATCTATTCTTATAGTAATCAGAATCAATGTTCCCTCTAAGCTGTGGAATCTTGTGAGCAGAAATTCTACTTTGTGAGCTACTGGCATTAAAGTTGTGAGCGAGCGACTTGGCTACTGTATAAATTAGTTTGCTCTGGAGCCACCCTTCCTGAGCTAAGACAAAAACCTGTGAGCTGGAGGCTAAAAAACTGTGAGCTAGCTCACACTAACTCAGCTTAGAGGGAACACTGATCAGAATCACAGCTCTTTTGTGTTCACTCAAGATTGCTGAGGGCACAGAAGGCCAGGTCTAGTGACATGAGGCTGTTCTGGCGTCTGGGGAAATGAACTTGCATTGGTAAGATCCTCAGGATGGCATGGGTTTCTCCTCGCATCATTTGTGTGAGGTAAGTAAGCGTGAGGAAGGGTGGAACTGTCTAGGGTCAGGCACCCAGGCAGCCTTGTGGTTGATTTGCTGGGAAAGAGGATTGGTAAAGTAAAGGTTCCCTTGCTTGAAATCCAGTTAAGTCCGACTCTAGGGTTGCAGTGCTCATCTCTGTTTCAAAGCCAAAGAGCCAGCGCTGTCAGAAGATGTTTCCGTGGTCATGTGGCCAGCATGACTCCCACCAAAGTGGTACTTATTTATCTACTTGCAATTTCTTGCTTTCTAACTGCTAGGTTGGCAGGAGCTGGAACTAGAGACGGGAGTTCACTCCGTCATGCGGCAACTCAGGTCTCGAACTGCTGAACTACCAACCTTCCACAGCCTGCAGTTCAGCATCTTAACCACTTGAGCCAACGCAGCTGTGGTGGCAGCTGTCACTGACACAATTATATTTTTATCTGCTTAGCCAATTGGTTCTCCAGTGGCCAATCACAAGCCTTGCTGGGTAAGTGCCCCACCTGGCCCTATTCACTTTCTGAAAACACTTGGTGGACACCAGGAAAGGTTTCCTCAGGCACTCGCACCCACGGGCATCACGCTGGGGACACATCCCTGTTGGGCTGCTTCCCCTCCCCCAAATAGCCCCCCCGGCTCCCCCCCATTTCAGGAATTTCCCAAGCAATTCTAAATAGAAGCATCAGTTAGCCCAGCAGTTCATTCTTCTGACAACATGTGTGTGTGCATGAGCACGTGCTGTATTTAAAAAAAGGTTTTATTTTCAATATTATATCCTGGGTGCTGCACAAGAAATGATTTCATCGAGGCTCACATGTGAATAAAATCTAAACAAACTGTTAATTAATCTTTGATGATGGGGGTTGCCAACATGCCAGGAGAAAAATGTCCTGTTCCTTTCATAGAGGTTTAAGGGGATGTTATTTACCAGGTGCTGTTGTTTGCCTCCATGCCATGAAAAGCGTCAACTGCCCATTTCTACACATCAGCCCTCTATTAAGAGGACAGGACGTTTTCCTTCAGGAATATTGGCAGCCACAATTTCTCCCACCCTGCACAGTTTTTGCCTGAGAAAACTGCTGGGGGGAGGAGGCAGGAGCCCCTCCCCCCCCATGCCATTCCAAGCAGTTCCAGGCCGCTGCTGAATGGCTGCAGAGAACATGGGAAAATCAATGTAAACAAGTGAACAAATGTAAGGAGTCGTTGATCTTGGTATTCTGAGAAGACTGCAGGCCCATTTGTACCAGAACTTTTTTCTTTGTTTGTTGAGCAGATCACCAGGTACTGAAGTCCTTGAACCAAAAATCCCCCCCCAAGTGGTCATTGTGGGGAAAGTATGAAAAACCTTTCTCTTGATATGTCGACTAAGCAAAACAGCAGCAACAACAACCCTTTGCACAGCATGCAGTTCATCTGTGGAACTCTTTGCTACCAGAAATAAAATAGTAAATAATATTACTGAGTTTAAAAAGGCTCAATAAGTCCATGAAAAAAAACAGGACTGTCAATAGGAAATAGACAGAATTCTCATCAATCAAAACACAAAATTACTAGTGTATGTTAAACTACCAGAGATTGGAAGCGGATACAAGGAAAAGGAGCATTCAATGAGCACATACTGTTTACAAGTTCTGAGGAATCTTGACATGACTGCTGCCATACTGGATGCTGGGTTTAATTCTTCTGACTAATGTTCTTAGCACATAAATCCATTCTAAGTGGGAGCTGAGACCCTTGTGAGCATGTTACGAAACAGCTTCTGAAATGCATTATCATGCTGTTTGGCACAATGCTAACATACAATGATGTCATTTCTGTCACAATGCTAGGCAAGGTAGTTGTCATGTTAGTGATCAAGTCATAAACTTAACCGATGCTGCTGGCCACTACTTCCTTGTACCTGCAAGTATGCGTTTGTAGTTAAATTACTTCTTTGGGTGCTGAGATTGCAAATGGGATGCACATAGAAATCCCCAGAGTAATATAGTAGATGGGTTGGGACCTACATTGGGAAACTTGGGTTTAAATCTGCATGCAGCCATGAGGCTTACTGGTTGATCTTTAGGTA